TCGTGCCTTTTTGTCACTCCTCCTAGACAGGGCAAATGTACATATTACTTGTCTTTGTCTGAAATAAATACGAAATACGAATACGAAATACACCGAATACAAGAGAGGGTTGATTGTTATCGCTGTGCTTATGGAGAAACTGCGTCGCAAGAAAATTTCGGAATGTAGTTTGTGGCAGCAGATCTACAATGTTTCACCTACTAGATAGCGATGGTGATGCTGTTTCCAATTGTGACTGCTGCAATGTGATGATGTGTTTGTTTCTTGTTTTTCTGGGGCAACACCCTTTTCTATGCCTTCTGTCGAAGATCTTTCCTTTTTTTCCTGTGGATTTAATATCGGTTAATTCATCTGGAGTGTGCCGTATAGTAGAAAAAATGAAATTGTCTAGCTCTGCAGGCAACGACGGCATCAATTCAAAGACATTAAAGAACACAAAACTTTATTCTTCTATTACACTCACTGAACTTTTTTCGCAGTCTTTGCAGTCTTAAACTTTGCCAGATGATTGGAAGGTGGGTAAGGTGGTTTGACTTCTTAAATCACGTAACACGCACTCTCCCCTCAATTACAGGCCAATATCTTTAACCAGTGTACCCTGCAAACTTCTCGAGCACATCATATATTTAAACTTAGTATCTTTTCTCGAATCCAATTCATTTTTTTCCTTGGTAACGCGGTTTTAGGAAGCAATTTTTTGTGAAACGCAGTTACTTTCTTTGACTAACGATCTTTTTCGTGCTCTTGACAATATTTTCATTATCGACTGCATCTTTTTAGATTACGCTAAAGCCTTCGACACTGTTTCGCATACTCTCCTTCTTCTTAAAATGAGCAAGCTAAGTATAGATCCTAACATCCTTGACTGGATTCACTCTTTCCTAACAATCTGTCTGCAGTATGTTCACGCTAATAATTATAACTCTCCTACCGTTGCTATAACATCAGGTGTACAACAGGACTCGGGTTTAGGTCCATTGCTTTTTCTTACTTATATTATTAATTTGCCTGTCGGAATTAATTCTACCATTAGAAGTTTGCTGATGATTACGTGCTGTATCGTGTCATTCATAACCCACATGACCTTTCTACATGGAGTCCGACTTTGACGCTGTTTCTAACTGGTGCGACAAGTGGCTCATGAAATTAAACATCCGTAAGTGTAAAGTTATGAGAGTAATGCATCACGATAAAGTCAATGACCATTTTTTCTATACCCTTAAAAACTCCTCTTTAAACCGCGTTACTAGTTACCGTTACCTTGGCGTGCATATAACCCACAACCTCTCTGGAAATATGCATATTGAATACGTAATTACGCTAATCGCATGATTGGATTTCTCCACCGTCATTTTTCATCCGTTCCTTCAGATTTAAAACTTAAATTGTACACAACACTCGTAAGATTAAAATTGAATACGCTTGTTCTATTTGGTATCCATTTAGCTCCGTATTACCTACAGTCCCTTGAATTCGTTCAGAACCGTGCAGCTCATTTTGTGCTCTCTAACTACAACCACTACGCCAGTGTTTCTTCAATGAAAGCTACCCTAGGTTACCAACACTTAAGTCACGCCGTAAGTACTTCCGTCTCAACCTATTCCACAAAAACGTTTACACAAATTCAACACTTCAAATATATTTTTCTTCCCCCAGATTATGTATCACCACGGTTCGACCATCATCTTAACGTTAAAGTTTCCATATACCGCACTAACACTTGCCGTGCTTCTTTTTTGCCTCAAACAAGCAGTGACTGGAACCACCTTCCTGACTCCATTGCTGGAATCGAAGAATCTGCCGCCTTGAAAATTGCAGTTATTGTTGTATTGTTTGTCAGACCACTCCTCTCTCTAATGCCCTTGGGCCCTGAGAGTATGAAAATAAATAAGAGGAACGTTTCCTTCAGCAGAAATGCCCACTTACTTGTCGTCCCTACATCCATTCGTGATGAGATCCTGAGTGCTTGCCACGATGAGCCAACCTCTGGCCACCTCGGATACACGCGCACATTGACCAGAATCCGAACAAAAGTACTACTGGCCGAAGCTTCCAGGCACTCTAAAGCATTGCGTCCACACGTGCCTCGAATTGTCCATGACAAAAATCACCACATTTAAAACCAGCCGCATTGTTGCAACCAGTTCAAGTGCCCACCATACCTTTTCCACGAATTAAGATGGACCTTCTTGGAATATTTGCGACTTCAGCATACTGGAAACAAGTTAGTAATTGTCACTACTGACTATCTTACTCACTATGCAGAAACAAGGGCTATATCAAGCGGAACCGCAGTAGAACTGGCACAATTTTTTATTGAAAGTATCGTTTTCAGGCATCGTGCTCCTAGAATTAAAATAACGGACAGAGGTACCACTTTCACTGCCATGCTCCTTAAGTCAGTGCTTGAGCTGAGTAGGAACAGCGCATCCGAAAAGTACCTTCCTACCACCGACAAACTAACGGCTTAACAGAACGCCTAAACAAGGCAATTGCCTATACGCTGAGTATGTACATCGACGTGAATCATAAAAATTGGGACGACGTTCTACCATGCGTGACGTTTGCCTATAATACAGCGCAGCAGGAAAACTACTCGAAGCACGCCATTTAGGTCTTTTTTATGGCCGTGAATAGACGACAATGCTTGATGCCATGTTGCTGCAGGACTTCGACGATACAGTCACGCATGTTCAAGCCTTTACCCAACGAGCTGAAGAGGCGCAGCAGCTAGCACGTGTGCGAATCACCCGGACGCAGAGTCATGACGCACAACTTTATAACCTGCTACAACAATACGTCACTTATCAACCAGGCGAGAAAGTGTGGGTTTAGAGCTTTTTTCGCCGATGCCGCCTTTCTGAAAAGTTACTGAAGAAGTACTTTGTTCCCTACAATGTTGTACGGCCCGTAAGTACGTTAATTATGAGGTCATCTCTGACAGTTCCTTGCAAGCTCGCCTGCAAAAATCAGAAATCGTGCACGTTGCGCTTATGAAGCCATATTGCACGAGTCCGTTGCATATTACGTCAACTACATACACCGCGTATTTTGTAGCAGAGCGTCGGGACGATGCTTTTCCTGGAAGAAAGCAAATGCCGCGTTGAAGCTGCAGAGAAGGGCTCACGCAGTAAGAAAGAAAGATGAAGCTCCTGCCTGGTCCTCTTTACGAGCGTCTTTCAATAGATTAATTGGCCTCTTTCATATCGCACTTCTGTGTCGAGACAATATATATATATATATATATATATATATACATGCATAAGTGGGCAACAGGTTCTCTTGCAATGCCCCCCTTTTTTGTCACTGGTTTTCCCGTTACTGGTTCATTATTAGCCAACTTGGTCGTGATTATTCGGTAGGAAAGGATTTTGTCTGGTTCCCAGGAACTAGCTTTATTGCATTGTCGAAATTCTCCTGCCATCGCTGACTAACTCAGCTTTAGCGCTAAGCTCCTGTTTTCAGGTTCTTCCAATAATTATGCACCATCTATATCCCCAACAACGTTTTCTTTTTGCTATAAACGACTTTCTTTCGAAGATATAAGTCGCGTCTCCCGAGCCCCTTCCCCCCCCCCAAAAAAAATGGCAGCATATCCACGGAGCGAATCATGGAGAGTGGGGCGAAACATCCGTCCGTTCATTCGTTTTTCTTCCATACGTCCATGCGTCCATCTATGTGACCGTCCATGCGTCCATTCGCCTGCCGTGCGTGCGTCTGTTCGTGCGTGCGCACGTCTATCTGTGCTTCCGACCCTGCGTTCGTCCATGCATCCGTCCATGCGTCTATTCGTCGGTGCAGCCATCCGTGAGTCCGTTCAAGCATCTGTGTGTCCGTTCGTCTATCTATTCAACACTTCAAGTACCACTATCTCGCATCTATTCATCCTATATTCCGCCTATGCACCGCCATCCAGCGGACATTTCAAGGACTGAACGAAAGGAGGCACACGCACACTTTGTTACGGCTTGCCCTTCGTGTCTACTTTCCACACTTACCCACCTCGAGATCGTGGTATATACTAGTTCACTGATTCATAGCACTGCGGCCCAACGCTCGCTAAACCTTTCAAAAAACAGGAGGTTACGCCCAGTGGGTATAACGTAGCAACCCTTTCTTGTCAGATAGTTCTCAATGTACATGCCAATGGCTGCTAAGGCGAAATGAGAGAGAGAGGAGAATTCGGCTTTTAGTGAACGCGCAAGCTGCGAATTTTTTTTTTTGTTCAACAACGCATAGAAGAAATTTCTCACTGGCACCACCTAGAAGGTCAAAATGTAAAACTGGTTACACACTACTACTTCGACTACGAGGGACGAACGGGTGCCGCAATAAGGAGCTTCGCCCCTAAAAACATCCTGGCTGCGTGCCTGCCTGACTGCATTCCCAGAGAAAGCAAACGCTCAAGCTGGATAAAGAAAGTTATATGGGCCGGTGCAATGAAAAAGTTCGCTTGCATAAACACCGCAGAAAGCACAAGTCCATCTTGATTGGCGGATCTTGTGAGAGGACTTTTCCCCGCAGTGGGCGCAGTCAGGCAGTGGATAATGACGTTGTCGTCCCTCGGACTTACACCTGACACCTGTTCAAGGGAGTTCTATACTGTGCCTTACAAAATAGATGTTACACTGTACTCCTACTATACTGGGGGTCTAGTCACTTGCTTTCTATTTCTTGAAATTTAAAATGCTCACTGAATAGTTCTTTCAGCTCATAGAAGCAGAGTAGTTAATCAAGCGAATTTGCGTAGCCGGTTATGCTGTTGCCTTGGTCGTCTTCAGTCAAGCTTGATCTCAGAGGCTTCATGCCGTGAAAGGAGTCACACTAACATGTGTAATCGAGCATTTTAAACAAACACTTCAGAGAAATGTATTGTCTTTTTGTTTAGGGGAACGTTTCATCAAAATGTAATTGAAAGGAAACCTACGTATTGTCATCTGGCCTCCTTGATATATAAATAAGGCAGCGAGTTCTTCCAAAGCACAGAGTCTTGATTGCTGGCGAAAGCTTCGACCGCAATCAGGGAGTGGAATGATGAAGTTCTTCACACTGCACCTAATAGCTTTCTGTATTTGCAGCTTCGCTGCCGTTGAACGTTCTTCGTGTACTTCCACAGAAGAGGAAGATGAGGTCCCTACCTTGGCAGATCTCATGAAGGTAAAATTGTTCAAGAGCAAAACACTATTTTTTCTTTCTTTCCTAAAGCAGTTGCACCTCTATTTAGAATGGAGGTCACAAATATATTTTGCTATGCAGACGTCTATAAACCTTTGGATATTGTCCAACTGCACGATGCGAAACTGTAATGTAATTCGTGGTTTCACGTTCGGAGGTGTTTGGTATTGTTTTTACAAGAGGAGTTGTATCGCCAATATCAACACAATGAATGCAAGCTTCGCTTTTTGCTATCAAGTTCATTCAGTATTCTGTGTGATGTTATTACGAAATTAAATCTCTGTTAGTATTTAGGAGCGGTAAACAGACTAGATATAAGGAGACAGATAACACAAATGAACACTCTATTTTAGAAATTTCGTTACGTGCCGTCCACCTAGAGGACGAAAAAAGTGAAGGAGTAGGTGATGCCTGCTCTCGCTGCACAAGACGAAGGAACTATTTGTTACTGGGCGGTGGCCGGATCTCGGCGTCTTCACACGACGTCGTGGCAGTGTTAGGGAGCCGAACAAAATGCTGTTTAACTCGTCGACTCTTTGTCTATTCAAACCATCAGGACTCCCTGATAAAGTCGTCAAAGGTGGAGCAGTCTTTAAACACAAGCAAGTGAAAGGCGTTCTCAGAGATGCCTTTGTGAATGTGGCTTACTTTGTCGGCTTCAGGAATTTGTCTATCAACTTGACGGCACAAGGCTAAGCCATCTTGTATGTAAATCATGTATGGCTCCATTGAATTTAGCGCCCGGCGCGAGTGTTCCTTCTAGACGGCTTGCTCGCGTGCATTGGGGTTCTTGAAAAGGTGTTTATTTTTTTTCTTTACATACGTCGGAGCTCGTCAGCTCCTCTTCGTGCTTTTCAAACCGCACACTGGCCATACCCCTGAGGCAGTAGCCTACAATTGCGAGCCTCAAAGTCGGATCCCAGTGATTGGTGTTTCTGATGCACTCGTAGTAGGCCAGCCTTTTCTCCACGTGCATATTATGAGTTTCGAAGAAAGGTCTCGGAGGTGACTCACAACAACGTTGCTCGGTGCAATAGGCATAGTGGAGGCTTGATCGGTGTAATTGTCTGTCGACATGATGAACTGTCCAACAAGATGTCCTCTGCGATGTTTCGTGATGTGTCCGCATGTACTCAGCTCCTCCATCAAAGATGTTACAGAAGGAGGTGACAGAAAACGGAAGTATTTAAGTCTACAGCAATGTGGGCAAAAACAACTAACATTACTAGAGTGGACACCACCTAGACCTTCACTACTTTGTTCTTTAAGTGAGCTGCACATAACAATAGCTGTCGATGAAAGTGATTGAGAAAAGACCTCCTTTATTACACCCGATGATCTACACCAATTTAAAGTCAAGCCCTTTGGGTTGTGCAACGCGCCAGCTACATTTGAGCGCTTGAAGGTCCTGCTACTGAGGAGTTTCAAGTGGTTCATATGCCTCTGCTACCTCGATTATGTCGTCGTTTTCTCCCTGACAATCATCAGTCACCTGCTACGCTTGTAGACTATTTTGCAAGTCTTTCATACCGCCAGTATTCAACTCAACTCATCAAAATGCCCCTTTAAATGCTGAGAGGTCAGTGTGCTCGGCCATCTTGTTGACGCTGCAGGTATACGACCTCATTCAGCGAAAAAATCGGCTGTCTCCTACTTCCCTGCCCCACGTTCTTCCAAGGACGTTCACTTGTTTTTTGGCCTGTGCTCGTATTTTCCCCGCTTTGTTAAAGATTTGGCAGTGATTGCGCAGCCCCTCACATGCCTTCTAGAAAAGAACGTTTCTTTATTTTGCGGCTCGTCGACCGACTCTCGTCACCCCCTGTGTAGGCCCATTTCAACGACTTTGCGCCTACTAAAGTACCCACCGATGGCTGTGGTCATGGTATGGGCACTGTCCTTGGTCAAAAGCAATGTGTTCACCACGGCTGCGTCAATGCTTACGCCAGCCGCTTCCTCTCCGCAGCTGAGTGGAAGAAAAGTCGAGAGAGAGTGCCTTGCTCTTGTTTAGGTTGTCAGAAAATTTCACCCCTATCTCTGCGGCAGACCCTTCACTATGGTAAGTGATGGCTACGCCCTATGCTGGCTGTATTCACTCAAGAATCCGGCTGGTCGACTTGTTCGTTGAGCACTACGACTTCAAGAGTACACGTTCAGTCTTGTCTACAAGAGTGGTCACTTGCATCAAGACGCCGACTGCGTCTACCGTTATCTAGGCAACCCACCATATCCTTCTGCGAACGATACCATTCAGTCTGTGCTTTCTATAACTGACCTGTTCATTCAACATTTCTTATGAGCAACGACGGGATCATACTCTTCGTAAGATGATCAACCACCTCAACTTTACGGCTCCCGATTCATTCCTTCGTCCCTCCGTGCAGCGCAACGGCACTTTGCTACGTCGCAGTCTGATACGCGATTGTCCTGGCCTCTTACTTGTGATTCTGGCACGCCTTCGTTAAATTGTTCTGGTCCAGCTTCACGACGCGCCGATAGCAGGGTACCTCGGCGGTTCTCGCACCTACGATCGTGCCTACTATCGGGTCTACTGGCAAGCAATTTATAGATCAGTACGCCGTTACATGACTTCGTGCGATATTTTTCAGCGCTTTAACAAGTCAACAGTCCCAACGGCCGGCTGTCTTCTATCCGTCGACGTTCCATATTAACCATAATACCGTGTCAGCCTCGACTTGCTTGGTCCGTTCCCTACGTCTGTCTTGATAAATCAATGAATCGCCGTTGCCAAGGGCTATGCCACACAGCTGGCAAATACTCGCGCACTTCCCACAAACTGCGAGACCAACGTAGCAAACTTCTTGCTTCACAACGTCATCCTTCAGCATGGATCACTGCGGGAGCTTCTGAGGAACCGTGCAAGGCAGTTTCTATCTCGTGTCATCAATGATACTTTAATGTATTGCTTGACTAAACATAAGCTAACTATGGCCCACCATCCGCAGACGAATTGTTTCATGGAGTGATTGAACCAAAACAATACATGCAGGCAATGTAGGTGTTTGCCGATAAGCAAGATTGCGATGCAGTGTTCATTTTGTCACATTAACACAATACGATGCGGCACCAGACGGCTGGCTATTCGCCTTTCTTTCTTTATTTGGCCAAAACCCAACGCTACATATGGACACAACAATGCCTCCTTTGACGTACCCACCCACTGGTTATGTTCGAGAAGCTATACCCTGCACCGACCTTGCACGTCAGCATGCCCGCTGTTTGGCAAACTGATAGCCAAGCGGGGCTAAAATCTCATTACGACAGCCTTTCCCATAACGCCCACTTTCCTTTAGCATCTCTTGTTCTCTTGTGGTCTCCAGCACCCAGTATTGAAGTTTCTGTGAAGCTACTGTTCTCGTACTACGGCCCATATCGTGTGCGCCGCCAATGGCTGACGTCACGTATAGAACAAATAAAAACGTCTTCATGCTCCTCCACGCAAGCCCGTTCCGACATCGTTCACGTTCTCCGTCCGAAGCCTTATCATACAACTTACTCCCCCAGCGCACATGGATATTGACCACTTACACTACTGTCTTTCTACGGCTGCACCAAGTCAGTGCCTTCACCACCACACGGTATTCTTATGTGCCACTCACCTAGAGAACGAAAAGTGAAGGTCTAAGTGGTGCCTGCTCTCGCCAACTTGGCTGTTTCTGCCCGCAATGCTGTCAACTGTAAAAAGTGTACGTACACCTGTTTTCTGTCATCTCCTTACAACAGATGTTTCGCGCTTTTAAAAAACAATATAGATTGGTACAAACTCACTTAAATACCTGTGCTCCCAATTTAATATCTCACCAACAAATCGCCCGAAAAAAAACACGTGAGACATGTTTGCTTTCTTGATAACTTGGCGCTATCTCTGGTGGACATGACAATGATTCGCAGTGTATTTTTGGACACCAAATCACAAATATGATTTCCTGGCTCATAATGCATTCGCTATAGTCAGCAGGCTTCCATTACAAAAATTTCAACGCATGGTGAGTCCAGAGTAGCCACGGCTTCAAGAAATCCGAACCAAAGGGCAACAGAACGGGTTGATGTGATATAGGTCCAAGCAATAGGTATGCAGCTCACCTGCCGCCTATTCCTCTTACATAAATTGAGGAGGAGGACAATAGAATGTTGTCTGGATAGCTTGGACGCAATCGGTAAATTTTTCGGATAAGGTCTACCATGCAGCTTCTTCAGGTGAAGCTAAATGGTCGACTTTACCCGAAAATCCTCGTTTGCCCTGGCGTCTACAATGGTACACCCTTGAAGTCTCTGTTGATGGCACTCCTACCCAAGCTTTGATCTACACAGGTGCTCACGTTTCTCTTATCAATGTGCATCGAGTCGTCACTGAAAGTCGCTGAAAAAAAATCCTTATGCCACCCGATACCAGTGTGGCTTAGGTTGCTGATTGAGGCACTGTTCCCTTCGCCTTAAAGTGTACGGCACAATTCAGAGTTTCAGGTCATGAAGTGGTGGTCCTGTCTGCTGTTTCGTCCAAATCATCTCACTCCCAACCTTATATTAGATTACCTTTTCACGCTGTTGATTCTGCGTTTATTAGTTGCACTATTGGTGTTATCTGACTTCATTTGCCGTCAGTACCCGCTATGGAAACCTCCACGTCAATTGAATTGCAGGTACTTTCTTCATCTAGCCCGTAAACTTGTTAAGTACCTCGACAGGCTGACCTCACCAGCTGGCTAGACGTCGAATACTGCGCTGCGCCCCTTTCCGATTGGCAGTTCACGCATTTTGTTGCTGCTTTCTATACGGTTCCCAGCATCATGGCTATTGCAACCAAGCTACCTGTTGTAAATTTTCGCTTCACAAGTATACAGGTACCACTAGGCACATCCGTAGGCCACCTATGTTCGCTCCTGGATTCACTGGTAGACGTTTGCGGTCTGAATGCCGTTGTTACGCAGCATGCACGACCGAAAACAATTGGGAGAGCCGTAAAA